GCTACTATCGGTTGCTAGAATAGCTCTCCACGATGATGCTGAGTATACCTAGTAAGGCGTTGATCTATATGGGGATAACTAATAAGTTGATGATAAGGATGATCGTTAAGATAATCATAATAATGATCAATAGAGAGATAATAGAGAGAGAGAGTTGCAAGAAGAAAATAGGAGACAGCAAATACCTATTGCTATATAAAAGGAATCATCTGATCTACTACCAACCCCGATATCAAACAAACCGAGGGATTAGGTAAGAGAGCATATACCGGGATCCTTCCCAGCAGATATCCCTTTGCCAATATCACCACCTTTGCAAGCTTCATCACCAAATTCATCAAGATCATCAAACCAACCTTTGTTTCTATTAATATCACAATTACCAAGACCAATTCCATCATTATCGTCGTTAGAAACGCAGAGATAGGCAAGAAATGCCATCTTAATAACACCAGATCCTATCTCAGTGATACCATCGATCGAATCTAGGGGGGAGGTACAAATGGGAGATGAGAATAATCATAATAATCCTATCTTAGAGAGTGAACTTCAACTACAATGCGAGCTTAAACAGACCCCGATGCCATAAGAAGAGACGTCTTTACCTCGATCCTTATTAGCCCAGCCAGATTATAGGAGACCGAGATCAGACGGAATCGACCCTGCCAATATCATCACTGGGACTAGATCTAGAAGGAACAGGGATTATGGGACATATATGATACTGGAAGAAGAAGAGCTGCCTGAATTAATTTATGCATTCTTAACCAGGATGAACGAGAGGTTTGAAAGAAAAGAAAGACCTCACAAAGATCAACTTCCTCCACCACCACGAAATTGGGCGGAATTGAAAAACCATGCTTATATAAAAGAATTCAAAGTAGTAGTAGAATTTGAGATTGAAACCCTGCGAAGAAAAGAAACCTTCTCTCAGGTCCTAATACCAAACACAAAAGGCACATAGATACTACCCCTGAAGTAGGTTTTTATATACAAATTTGATGCAGACGGTATGCTTGAAAAGTTCAAAGCGCGGATCTGTGTACGAGGAGATCTTCAATGGATGACAATAGACGAGAAAAGAGCTGCTATACTAGCAGTTAAAACCACGAGAGCTATCTTTGCACTTGTGGCAGCATTCGACCTCGATATGAAACAAAGAGATGTGGTCAATGTATTTTTGAACTCAATCCTATAAAGTGAGGTATATATACGTTGCCTGCCAGGATTTGAAATTTTAAATGAGTGCTGGATGCTACACAAAGCATTATATGGTCTAAGAATGGTACTAAGGCTATGGCAGCAAGAAGTAATACGTGTTCTTGTTAAGCTAGGATTGATTCTAGTACCAGAAGATCCCTGTATTTTTGTGATGATTAGCATTATTGTTTTCTTCTATATTGACAATATTATCATTATTAACCACCCGAAGTATGCTAACCAAGCAATGTATTTAGATTAATAGATGAAAAAGCACTGGGAACTGCGTGAGCTAGATGCTAGCTGGTTTCTTAATATCTATATTTTGCGAGATAGAGACCAGAAGAAGCTTTAGCTATGCCAAGACAGCTATATTAAAAGTATGGCGTCGAAATATGATCTGATTACCAGCCGGAAAGTTGATTCTCTAATGAGTATTGAGCTATTGGAACCATTTGATAGAGTTACCACACTAAGCCAGATTCATAGATACTAAGCTAAAGTTGGATCTGCGCAGTATACAACCACCATCTCGAGACCAGACGCTGTAAAAGTGACTAGAAAAGCGGCCGAATTCTTGCTAAACCCTGGTCCTAAACACATTGACGCTATTAACCGCGTTATCTAATACCTATATCAGACTAGGTTTTGGGCTATCGAATATGGGATTAGAAGAAATAACCCAATAAGTGAGACGTCAACAATGCAACTAGCAGCCAAATCAGTGGTTTTTGCTAGCGATGTATCGTTCGGCGATAATAAAGACCGGAAAAGTTCAGAAGGATATATCTGCAAACTTTATAGCGGTCCAATCGACTGGAAAGCGTCTAAACAAAAGACGGTTACCACTTTAACCACCGAAGCTGAGCTTCTAGTACTTGCTGAAGCTAGAAAAACAGTCTAATGGTGGCGCCGAGTCCTCCATGTACTTGGATTTGAACCGTCGCATACACTCTCGATTGTATGCGATAACTAACAGACCGTTGATCTATTGACAAAGGAAGGAGCGTCAATGTATACAAAGCTTCGCCATATGGATATCAATAGATACTGGTTGAAACAAGAAGTCAACGCCGGTCGGGTTAACGTGGATTGGATTCCAACCGCGGAAATGCCCGCTGATGGTCTGACGAAAGCTTTACCCCGCCAGAAACAAGAACGGTTTAGGGAATTGCTTGGAATGTCTGAGATTGGTCATCTGATCAGTCATGAAAACAGACGTTAATTGATTGAGACAGCTCTTAAAGCTCTAAATTGTGATCGCTTCAAAAGCTGGGGGGTGTGTCAGAATCTAGGATGAATACTGTTATTTTTCATTCCTGATACAGTTGGGTCACGTGACTGACCAGGCTGGTATTTCTGCAGAAAAACCAACTCAGATGGTTTTTCGCCCGAAAAACCAGTCCCACAGTTTTTCGCCCGAAAAACATCCTTTCATTTTGTTTTGTTTGTTTTGATTACTAAGTTGTCCACAAGATTGTCATGTTTTAGGACTATTGTCATTTTTAGAAAGTTAGAGAATTTATTGAGATTTTTCTGCCACATATACAATCGCCTTACCACCGTTTTTCCGTCAATATAATTTAGGATATTCCGGGACTTATGATACACCGCCCGGTATGCGCATTCAACCACAGCAAGTGTCCGCAGGCCGTCTTGCCACACCAAGCACTACCGAATAGGAGGCCACTACGGTAGTAATGTAGTAGTATTTCGGGATTGACCCACTTTAGCTGCAGGCAATGTACACAATGGGCCAATGGAATCCCTTCTCATTGGGACCACCTCCGCAGCCTCCAAGCAATACTATTGGTAGGCCCCCGTACCTGTCTTTGTAGGTCTACTACTCGAAGAACTGTCTCTCATAATTTCTCCTCTTGTCTGCCCTCTGTTCTCTGCTCGGGTCTCACAGGGCTAGTTTCCTCTCGAGCGGATTTTTCAAAAAGAGTCCTCTCTCAAGAGAAGACGTTTGTTCCGAAATTTCCAAGAAAGCATATTTCCTGAGACGATCTACCATAGCACTCGTAGCTTCTAGATAGGAACAAGAGTATCAATCTTTAATCAACAAATAAGGAGCGGACTCAAAGACTCGATGACTCCTCCGCACAATTTGAATTTGGGCCGAAACATCATGTTGGCGAGTCATGGCACCATCAGTAAAACCAAATGGGGCTCAAGAGTCTGGACTCTCGTATACTACCTGCTTAGAGTGGATTCTAGACATAGTGCTATACAGTTCTCTCGATGAGGAACCGCCGACATTTTTGCGCAGCTAGATGATAGCGCCTTGCAAGGTCGCTCGCACCGATGTAACCCCATTGGAAGAGGCAGGGTCTTGCTTTGCTGTCAATCTGTTGGGTTTTGATCGATTAGCTATGACTGAGGTTTAGGCTTCTTATGTTGCCTCATCATGGTCCGTCCCACTTCTCTATGTTAATAGATCGAATACATCGTACATACATCACTACCAATTGAATTGAAAAATAAGCCAACCCTCCCAATCCGTATGTTAAGCGCCAAACTCCTCCTCCCCAATGATATGCAGTCCAGTTCCCAATCCTCGTAATAGGGAGGGGTCGGAAGATATAAAGAGCCAATATCTTTTCGTCGGTGTAGAATAACTCTTGCCATGACCCCAAGCATCGAGAGGTTTTCCTCGGGTTGAAAGCTCTCAATCCATATATCTTTGTCCGTACTGCCTTAGTTCGAAATATGTCTACTGCTCGAGGAGGCATCAATTACGTTCGGTTCTTTTTCTACCGTAATAACAACTTTAGCGACGAGTTGAAGGAACAGATAGTTGCTTTGGTATATTCAGCAGCGCGTACTCGACTGTTGGCCCCCAAGGCAATCTTGATTCGGTTAGTGAACGCTCGAGCCTTGCTCCAGACGTCTGGGTAGCTTCTTTTCTCCCTTTTTGCTATATGTCTCTATACATAGCCCTTTTAGGGCTTTTTACAACCGCAAATTTAATACTCCAATATGCTAACTATATATACTAGATCTGCCCTACATCGAACAACCAGTTATATGGGCCGACATGTCCTAGATCCTAAAGGATGGCATGTCACCCTCGCTTTTAAGAACACAGAACAACTTGAACTTCAATACCATGTGGCATCTCACGGGTATACAACTGGCCAAAACTCTTTCGCTCTTACGGAAGCCACTCATACGGCACCGAAGCCAGATGACACTCGCCGTAGAGGCCCGAAGTCCATAAATACTGTTTGGCCAGCTGAAACAGACCTTGTCGAATGTAAGCACAATCCAATCGGTTACTCGCACCTGCCAGAATCAGATTGATCATCAAATAAATCTAACATGCGCAGATGTGCGTAATGCTAAACAGCCTCCGTGTTGAAGGTGCAATGAAAATGTCGCATTCGATGTCAATTTTGAGGTGTATCATTTTCTCTTTGGTTTTGTTTTCCGTTCAGTGCAATATGAATTCTAGTCATGTAAATTTTGATTTATATGGAGGTTATATACTATAACGAATTTGTATACAGAATCTTGTTGTATGTTAGGATCGATCCACTATGGATCGCTATCACATGCTTACGTGCTTGCTTGCTTGCTTGATGTTTGCTATTTACTCTTTCCTTTGTTCTTTCTCTTGTTTTACAGTTCAGCGAGAGATTGGTTGTTTGCAACCTTTGCAGAAGTGCCAGCTATATGGGCAGGCACTCTCCTACTTCTGCACTTGCTTCTTCTTTCTCTCCTCATTTTAGTTATTCTGAATTGATCGCACTCTTTCTTAATTGAATAGACCTGGCATGTCATATACAATGGCGCTTTTAGCTCCGCTGGTAATCAGGCAATGCCCATTTGACCATCCACTCTGACTCCAGCACCTGTTCGACAGTTAGTCGCTCTTCTGGTCGGAACATAAGCATCTGGCGCATCATATTTAGAAACGCGATTTTCTCGTCTTCCTGCATTTCGTCTGCATCCTCCCGCCTCCATTTTTGAACTTGGGTCTCGAATGACTGATCAAGTGGATACCATTTGTTTCTCTTGTGGTACTTCGTTGAATGCCCAGACTCGTCAAAAAATCTCGATTTTCCCTCCCAGCGCTGCCACCAGTCTGAAGGCATTGGCCCTAGTACATCGATATGCTGAGATAATACCTCATCTTCCTCCAAGTAATCAGCACTGAAAACGGTCTGCATTCCGACGATGTCCCAAATGGCTGTAGCTAAGCTCCAGATATCCGAGGGATATGAGAGTGGAGCCTGCGGTTCAAATGTGGCTTCTGGGGCTCGAAATGCAAACGGCGTGCAACATTGCCGACCTAATTTGGTTTTCAAGGCGGGGGAAAACGCCTCACCAAAGTCACTTAGAATCAAGTGTGTGTCGGATAATGTGAAATCCCTTGCACTTTTCCCTAGCCAAAGCACCCCAACGGCTTCAGACGGTATATTAGGTGTTAACGGCTGGCCGTCACACCGAGTAATAGGGACCGTCTCTGGTTTCCCGTACTTCTCATACAATTCTTCGATAGAAAGGTCATCGAAGGTTGACGGGAGCCTGACCAAAATGTTGCTCAAATGGATATCTAAATTGGATCATCAAATCATTAGCTTGATAGCACCTAAGATAGATATCATCATTGTGTTAACAAACCTCCATGGGCATATCCCTTTGAATGTAGATAAGCAACAGCCTGTACCAAACGATATGATAGCGCTCGAGCAACGTCGAGGGGGAAAAGCCGACTAAAGCCTATATCCCTAAGATTGCCTTGTGCAGGGGCCACCGTGTAACATGTATGAGTTCCATTAGGGCCGTCCACTTTGAACTCATCTAAGAGATGAGGTACTAAATCATACCCAGGATGTGCCAATGAAGGTGATGAAGGAGGTGTAGAAAGAGCCTTGAGAATACCCGTCTCGCGAGAATTCGAGTCGGCAATATTAACCTTGAGAGCAACATATCGGTTTGCGTGAGTATCTCGGGCAAGCCAAACTGTCGAATAGCCCCCAGAGCCAAGTTTGTCTGCAATGTGATAACGACCATGTAGTACATCACCGACCATGATTGGATGATAGCCCCCGGGCGCATATCTTGAAAGATACTCCACATTTGGAATCCAGTTATACTCGATGCGATCGTTCTCAGTCATTATGGTGAAGCGCCGCGTAAAGCCCCCTGGATTGAGCTTTTGAGGATGCCAAATGAACTGTAGAAGCGGGGTTGAGAATCGAGAGGTGGGTAATAGTAAAGGCTGGGTTAATTTCTTGGGTATTTTTAGGCAGCGTATCATTGTCATTGTTTGCGTGCGTGGTTTGAAGAGATGGTTGAAGGTCAGATCATGGGGGCTGAATATACTGGTAGTTAGAGAGCCGATTTCTTACATCACATGATCTATCACCTACACAAATATCGATGGCATTTTCCAACTCTCTTCTTTATGCCAAAAAAAATGATGGGAACAATTGAAACAATTTCTAAAATTATATAAAATCAAAGTCTGTCTTCTTATTAAACATTGTAGGATACTACATAGTTCGTGAGTGGGTCGTGGCTCGGCCCGGACCTTAGCACTAGTTACCTCTAACTACGAGGGATCTGGACGGCCTGCGGCCGCCCGATAGTCGTTGCAGAGCAAAACGACTGATTCTAACTTCTAATGCTACGTAAAGTGTGACTGTAGAAGCTCTGGGGAAGATAATTATGGTTCATTCTCTGCCTAGTCTATTTATTCTGCCAAAGTTAGCCGATGACTTTTCACCGCATAGCTTCTTATGATTTTGGAGCCCATAGGATAAAAATAGGATAAAAACACCTGGCCACGTGACATACACACACGAGGTTATGATTTAATTGCTTCGCTTCGCTCCGCAACTAGTATTTACGTACTCCGTTGAATATACGTAACTAAGAGATCTCAACAGCGTAGTTAGTTATCGCATCTTAAGACCATAGCTCAGGGAACGTCTTACAGATGAAACGAAAGTTACAGAATGAATTGCGTTTGGAAAACTCAGTATGGAAAATTTTATTGTTCGTGAAATAGCCAGTCAGGACATGAGGCTGGATGGTCGAGTAAGGATTACTTTTTCCGTGAAGGCGGCAGCGCTGGAAGTGTTATTGTCAAGCATGTGACGATCCCAACTACATATATCTCTACTCAGCATGGACGGAGGGTAAGGTTTAATGGACGTGATACCAATGCGGGAACCAGGTTAATCTATCTGCTGCTGTAGTCGCCGGACCTGAATGAGAAGTTTGTTTTTGCCGAGCTTAAAAGTATATAAGACGTAATTGGGACCTCCTCTATAGATGATGTATTCAGTGGGTCAGGGAGAGAGACGAAAGCTTTTTGCCCATTTCCTAGATTCTTGGAAGCCTTCATCTTTCATCTTTCGGAGGCCCTCTTGGTTATTGCCTCATGTTACCCTCTTTCCTTGTATCTGCTAAGGGCACGATAGACTTCCACTACTCTGTGTTTCCTCTGTTCATCAACTGCGTAGAACCTCTCAGTTCAGTCGTTCCCAATGTAACCTCATCACCGGGTCTTGTCATCTAGAAGCTAACAGGCGATGGTTCACGATTTCGGTCTCCAACGTCTCTGAAGTCGCTCATTAGAGAACTCACGCCACCTAAGTTAACGTTGGTTTCCCGTTGCCTAATTTTGTCGGGGAACTAGACATCCTCGAGATCGACAACCATAACTTTGCCATCATCGCAGCCCCCATTGTCGCAGAACGATAAATTGTCTACGTTTTGGTCCCAGTGTTCAGCACCAGGCTCATATAATATCTTGAGAGCTTCCATAAGCCGAGTTTCCAAAGTTTTCTCGTGGACCTTGATCTTGTTGTGAGCGAGGTCATATAGAGTTTGACGATGACTGTTGTGATTTATGGTGGAATAATCCGTTCAAATTCTAAGCGATGTACTGTGCTACAGCGTGAATGTAGCTGCTTGACATTTTTTCGCAGTGATGGCTTGGCCGTCTAGATAGAACGTCTAATGATGTGTGAGCCGGATCAAGTGTTTCACATCGCGGCTAGAGATATATATTTTACCTGGGAGGATTGAGGGTCAGTGAAAGGGCCACTAAAAGGTCGGTTGATTCTACAGCATACGGACAGCCTGTATTGGGAGACCTTTTGATAACCCGAGAGCTAGATCATATGTGATAGGAGAGACAAGGCTACATAATGCATCAGGCCTGGGTATTGTATAGAATGGAATTAACAATAACCTATTGAAACAATGCGTGAAATCAAAGAATAATGTCAATAATTGGAACAATTGGAACAATAGAGTCCCTTGCGACAGCCTCTATAGAGGGACATACCGCCTAGGGACCAGATATTCTGCCGGGTCGCGCCTTCCAATTCCGAAAAAGTTATATGCGTTGGCGACCACCAGACAATCGCTGGCGACTACGAGACAAACCGCTCTTTCCTTCTAATTTTTTGGTCGCGTCCACCGCATTGTTTACCTATTTAATCCCCTCTCTTCCCCCCTCTCTCCTCTTCTCCTCTTCTCCTCTCCATCACCCACAACATTACCATCCAGAGCATTGCCTTTGGATATCTCTCACCAGAGTCTTTTGTGATCGACTCTACCAAATCAGTCAGTATTTACATTTGTACCTAGATAGCCTTTGGATATCTCTGACTGACTGATTTTATTTCAATAAGACTTCCCTCACTTTCCACTCACACCACAACCTCGACACCAACCATCCTCCTCATCTTGCGCATTTCGCCAAGATGAGACTGCGGTCGAACCACGTTCTTCGGCCAGTTTCGGAGTACGTCCCACGCCGCCGTCGCCAGACGCGGAGTGCGTCGGCACAGGCTGGGACGGAGGCCGCGACAGAGACTGTGCCTCTGGCACAGTCTGCACCAGACCTTGCCGAGCAGTCTGCTGCAGAACGGCCCGCTCCAAAGCGGAAGCCAGCCAAGAGAGCTGGCCGGAAGAAGGTCAGTCAGAAAATAAAATGTCACAATTGTTCATTACTAACTCATGTTCCTAGAAGGCCGCGCCCAAGGGCAAGAAGAAGGCCGCTCCCACCGCGGAGCCTGAAGCTGCTGCCGGCACCGAAGCCGACCCCCAGGAAGACCCCGTTGCGCTCATTCCGTCTGTGGAGCAACCAGACACCCGTACGTTGCCCCCCAGTCCCACCCAGGCCACCCAGGCCACCCAGGCCTCCCCGACCCCCCCGGCTCCCCAGGCTCCCAAGGCTCCTCCCCAGCGCAAGTTCAGAGAACGAGTCATGTCGGCCTTTCGCTATGGGAGAGCCAGCGCACTCCTCCAAAGAGAGCCTGAGCGAGCCCCCCCCCCTCCGCAAACGCCCGTGATGGAGTATGCCTGGCCGCCTGGCCAAGTTTATGATAGACTTGGCCGAATCCCCTGGTCACTTCCCTGGACCCCACCATCCCCCTGGAGGAACTTTCCTCGCAGATTTCCTGGCGTCAATGCCCCGGATGAATCCCAGCTGACCCCCATGGAAGAACCCACTAGGAAACGGAACCGATCATCCGAAGATGATCTTTCGCCTTCGAAACGTCACAAGTTGACCCTCCAAACTCCACCCGGCTTCGAAAACCGTCCTCGCGGCAGCTCTCGCAGAACATATGCGGATCGCGCGCGACGACGCGAAGCGGAAAGGGGAGGACGAATCGATCGTACCATTTACCGTTTCCCCCAACTCCTGGCTCAGCAGGGAGAGGATGCGAGGTCTGGCAGTTCGACCCCCGTGGCCTCTCAGGCAAGCGAAGAGACCGCACCTCAGGGTAATCGCATTGTCCCGCTATCCTCATTGCCTTCTGCACTCCCACCGAATCAGAACCAAAATCAGAACAGACCTAATTGGCGCCAATGGATATTCAATTCAGTGACTGGTATTTGGGGACGAGGCAATGCGCCTCAAACTGCAGAGGTCCCACAAGGTAGGCGCCCCTCATATCATGGCATATATTTATAGTGGCTAACATGGTGATTCTAGTGGTCGAACCTGAACATCCAACGGGAAATGACTCCGTCGCGACACCCTCCTCAGCCCCCCTTCTTCCTCTGTTGTGGCGTCACGAAATTTCGAATCGCCCACTCCTAGCTCGCGCGTTGCAGAGCCACAAACCGCAAACTCTCGTCTGACAGCCAGGGCACGCGCTCCACAAGTCGGCACAAGAAAGAAGTACTCCTACGATTTGGACCCACAAGGGTTCGACCCAGAACTGCTCGCGCGCATGCGCGCCGGGATGTCGGATCCTGCGGACCTCGAACCTGTAACTTCAATCGAGCAAGTTCGTGCGCTTTACGATAACGAATCGAAGAAGCGTAAGCGAGAAACGTCACCCGATGTCATTCCACACCCTCCAGGATGTAGTTACGGGTTTGACCCAGATTACTTCATCTACGATGACGATGATTACGACGACGACTTGCCCACAGGCGAGCAGGAACTCCAAGATACCCCGACGAAACACGCTACAGTCAGCGATGCACCGGAAGAGGAGCATGTCTCCAAACGTTTGCGCCAAGATCCCCCGACTCGACAGGCTACAGTCAGCGATGCGCCGGAAGAGGAGGATGTCTCCGATCGTGTCCGCCAAGATACCCCGACTCAACAGGCTACAGTCATCGATGTGCCGGAAGAGGAGGATGTCTCCAATCGTGTGCGCCAAGATACCCCGACTCAACAGGCTACAGTCAGCGATGCACCGGAAGAGGAGCATGTCTCTGACAATATCCAGTTGGAAAGCTCCAACGACCAGGTCACGTCAGAGCCCATCGAGTATTCCGCCGAGGAACTCCGCAAGGCCCGTCAGATCGCAGAGGCTCGTCAGACCGCAGAGCAGTACAAGCCGAAGACCCCCAGTCGTCTTCGCGCGGCCCATCGCTTCTCGAGTAGCTGTAACTCGTCTATTGAGGTGGAAACCGTCCAACGTCGCAAGATGAGAGAAACCTCAATGGCTACGGCATGCCCCACTAGCGATCTAAGCCAGATCGAGTGGCCCGAGACTGAAACTTGGATCGAGACCTTTAACTGGGACGATCCTAACTTTGAGAAATATCAGAGAGGATCTTTCGTCCGCACTGATCTGTTTCCCACCGAGGAGGCACATTATGATGCTTGCCACAAGGAGTTTGCTGACCTTCTTGCTGCTCGGCGTGCAGCTTAATAAATTAAAAAAAAAAAAAAAGACTTGCCAGAGAGGGAACCTTCAGAAATACCTGGAGGTCGCATTTCCCTTGAGCACCCGGTTTCCCCCTAGGGAACGAAATACAACTACGAGATTCCGAAGAGCAAGCTTCTCGGCCTGCTACTTATCAAAATCAAAAAAAAAAAAAAAAGAAAAAAATCAAAAAACGGAAGAAAAAGATGGAAGTCCTCCGGGTTTCCCTGGCCCGCCTTTCTAGGCTGGGGCTAGGGCTCCCTTGGCCCGCCTTGGGTCTCTGATGGAACCAGGCTGGTGCCGGCTTTTCGCTGGCCCGCCTTGGACCTCTGAACTGGGCTTGGGTCGAGCCTTCGAGGAAATCCTGTATACATTCTTTCGGTGTTGTGACTCGTTGGACCGCCTTGGATGCATGGGCCTACGAGTCTACGTCTTTGTCTTTTTCGTCTTTTGCGTTTTGCGCTTTGTTTTTCTTGCTATTTAGCGCATGTAATGAGTGAATATTAGCGTTGTTAAGGAGCATTTGAAAGGATTGCTTAGCTTCCCATACAAGTCAACAGATTGTAAAGACTAGGCTCGTATAGAGTGACACCGGGGAATTAAACCCAGGATATGGTATTGATATAGATATCTACTATGCTATTTCTAACCTAGTCAAAGCCCTTGAACTCACCATCGCCATTGGCTTCCTCCGCCTTGCTAGCTTGGTCCAACAACCGCTGTTGCTCATTCTTAGCACGAATCTCCTCCAGCATGCGCTCCGTTTCAAGAGCCTTCTGCTTCTGATCCTCTGGCAATTGCTCCCATCTCTCCTTCTCCTTCCGCGCCTTGTTGAACTCCCTCTTCTTGAACTTTTTATCCCGTTCTTCAGTCTTCTGACTCCAAGCCACACTCTCCGTAGCACGGCGCTTGTTAGGACCCTGCTCAGTGCCTTGTCCATTAGCAGCCTCCGCCATAGCCTCTTTGCGGCGCTTTTCTTGCTGCTTGTCCTTGTACGTGTAGTTGGACCAATCAAGTTTAATGCCTAGCGTCCGGTCTCCTTCAAAGGAGCGGGCTTCGGGCATCTTCGGCAGCTTGAGGAGTCCCCATGCCTTTCCGAGAGCTTCCCAGTCCAGATCTGCAACTCGGAAGATACTGCTTGCTTGATGTTTGCTGTAGCTGCGCAGCCAGCTGACGAACGCCTTCTGGCCCTTGTCGTGCATGGCGCGGTCTTTTAACACCGCTTTGCGGACCTTGTCTGTCGCGGCTGTGGCCTGTTCGTCCGTGAACTCGGGTAGGTTGTATGGCGCCACGGGCGTTTTGCGGATTTCCAGGAATGAGACGTAGTCCTCCTCGCGGCCCGGGTGGATGAGGACAATGCTGAGGCCTCGGCGGCCCGCACGACCGGCACGACCGCATCTGTGAATGAATGTTTTGGGGTCGGAGGGTGGGTCGATCTGGACTACTAGATCGACGGAGGGAATGTCTAGACCGCGAGCGGCGACATCGGTGGTGAGGAGGATGGAGGGGGTTGTGGAGGTAATGAAGCGGTTGAAGTTCTTTTGGCGGACGTTGGCTTGGTGTTTCCCGTGTAGTGGGACTAGCACGTATTCGTCTCCTAGGATTATGGGTAGTATTGTGGCGAGGTAGTCGACACTGGAGCATGTTGACACGAAGAAAATGGTTTTTTGAGGCGTGGGCTGGACATTGGAGAGGATGTGCTTCAGAATAGCATATTTGTGAAGCGGAGGTGTTGTCAAGTAGGTCATTTGCAGACTGTTCAATGGTTAGATCGGTCATTTCTGAATGGGGGAAAAAATCAAAGGACATACCTCGCTGGAGTGCGCTTTTCTTCGACGCCAGCTCCTCTGACCTTGACGGCAATTTTGACGGGATTTCGTAAACCAAGTCGGACGATCTGATCAACGGCCTCACTGATACTGGCACTGAACAATCCTGTCCGTCGCTGCTTCGGTAGCCGGCCTAAGATCTTCTGCAGGTCGTCCTTGAACCCAAGATCCAGAAGTCGATCGGCCTCGTCCAGGACAAGCATTTCGAAAGAAGCCTGAGGGCAGTGAACGTGAGGCGACGAAAGTAGCTCCAACAACCGTCCGGGTGTAGAGACTAATACATTGGGCGAATTTTTAAGGAATAATTTCAAATCTTCTGCCGGAGATGTCCCGCCACCCAGAAGAAGTTGTGGGACGACCCTCAATGTCGAGGAAGAGGTCTTCGCACGAGGAGCACCATCTTCGGCGGGTCTGATGGCTGCGGCCGACGCTGGGTGGAACTCCAAAAGGGAGAGAAGAACTTGGTGAATCTGCGAGGCCAATTCTCTGGTATACCGATATTAGCAACGAACTCTGCAGACCTGGATTTGCGCATTACCCACCTTGTAGGAGAAATGACAATGGCTCCAACATGATGCTTCTTGAGAGGCTGATCAAGGCGAAGAAGCTTTTCCACAATTGGAATCAAGAATGACAGTGTCTTTCCACTTCCAGTGACAGCTTCTACCACCACATCTTTATGCTGCATAAACAGAGGAATGGCCGAGGCTTGGACTGGAGTCATGCGCGTGAAGCCCATTGAGGCCACAGCGTCGAGGGAACATTCTGACAGCGGGGGCGTGAGAGCATCCCACGCTCTTGAAGACGACTTGGGAGGCATTTATTAATCTCAACAGACACCGAGTCGTCAAATTGCTTCACGAGCCGCCATCGCAAAGAAAAAAAAATATCCGTTATCGATTAGATACCAGACACGTGACTACGGCTGTGGTCGGAAAAACCGAGATCGTGAATCTGTTTTTCTCTCGACTTAGCCTTGCTTCGTTTACTTTACTTTTACATGGTATAACAAGTGCTTGGTGATCGCATCATGTACTGGAATCCTGCCTTGTGTCTCCAGCTTATTCGTCCATAAGTAACAATAAAGAATCGTCACGTGCCATCGAACCGCCTATCATTGCTTTGTTAGCAAGCCCATTGATATTTTCGTGGCTCATTCGTTTGCGACAACGCAGATATCTGTACGCCCACCTTCTGGTGTCCTTCGAGTCGCACCGATTCCTTCTTTTAAATTAAAGGCGCCCGACATGTCCTCGCCACAACCCGTACCGGAGGCACCTCGCGTGCTATCACCGACCCCCTCCAGATCGGACCGGTCAGAGACACCCGACGGATACATCGCACCGATGACACGGTCTGCAGCCCGTCGCCAGCGTGAGCCAGATGGTTCAGCCGAAAGTTCTGGCTCAGCGCGAGAATCAAGATCCCCCTCGGCTCGGCGCAACCGCCGATCACACCCCATGATACCCGCCTCGCCGCCGCGCTCGGAAAAGGGTACCGACTCGAACACCCATCTATCCCCACCAAGCATTACCGACGCGCTGCGCGACTTGTCAAGATCACCATCTCCTCTCGGGCTGATCCCCCTGCACGCACGCTACCGCAGTTTCATTCATCGCCATGAAATCCCGCGCAAGCTCTTGCACGTGTCAATCGGGTTCTTGACTCTGTCGTTATACAGCCAAGGCGTCCAAACGCTGCAGATTACACCAGTGCTCTTTACCGTACTGGTGCCTATTGCCGCAACAGACCTGATCCGCCATCGCTTCGAGAGGGTCAACAAGGTATATATTCGGTTTATGGGTGCGCTCATGCGCGAAACCGAGGTCACCGGCTACAACGGCGTGATCTGGTATCTCCTCGGAGCGTACGTCGCTCTCCGCTTCTTCCCCAAGGATGTCGGCGTCATGAGCGTGCTACTCCTTAGCTGGTGTGACACCGCCGCCTCGACATTCGGTCGTTTGTACGGCCGCTACACCCCCCGTCTGCGTCCCGGAAAGAGCTTGGCTGGTACTATGGCGGCCTGGCTGGTGGGTGTTGTCACCGCCGCTGCTTTCTGGGGCTGGTTCGTGCCTTACATTGGCGCTTTCCCCAATGACCCAGAAGACGCTTTTATGTTCACGGGACGCTTGAATCTGCTCCCGAACTGCGTTCGCGGCCTTCTGGGTTGGGAGCCTAGTGATTCGGCGGTCATCACTGGCCCTTTGTCTCTGGGCGTCATGAGTTTCGTCTCTGGCGTCGTTGCCGCTGGCAGCGAGTTCATTGATATTTGGGGCTGGGATGATAACCTGACGATCCCTGTGTTGAGTGGAGTTGGCCTCTGGGGTTTCCTTAAGGTCTTTGGGTAGATGGATAAATGATACACTCCTGATTATTTCTCAGCGCTTGCACAATATTCCCTGCTCTTTTTTTAATGCTATATCTGGGTGCTTGACGGTTAGTATTCGGACATTTTTCTCTTTTGCTCCTCTACGTTCTGGTATTGTGCTGCATCAAGAATTCTATTCTTGTCTAGACAGGCACTGGTGGAAGCCATGCACATTTTGATACTCCTCTTCTCTTCCGTTTCTATTCTTTGGATGTGTGTTCTGCATAGCTACTTTCTGGGACATGGCTTTGGTACGTTTTCGGATATATGCATAGGGTATTCTTATTTACAATTTCTGCGACATATGTACATGGCATCCAGCAATCCATCCTCGAGAAGTCAGCTTTCCTGATTCTTGATAGAGGTACTCGACATGTTTATCCAACGCCGTAGGTTAACAAAAAAATGCGGTTGCTCCACATGGTTGTATGCAAAAACTCCAGACCCGGGAAAATTCAAATTGATGCCATCGCCAATCCGCCAAAACGAGAAGAAGGGTATATGAAAGGTATTAATCAAACGAGGTCAAGAATACTGACGCGTGGGATTCTTTTCTTTTTGGCAGGCTGAGTCTGTCTGCGCGCTGTGCTCAGGCTATCGGTAGCTGAGCCTTCGCACGGATCTTGTTCATGCCGAGACGGGTCGATCGACCAAAAGCCGTCGTGCAATATAATGTTTTCCAAGTGCCCTATGGTCTTATGCTTCGGCGTTGTGCTCGTCCCCTTTGAAGATTTCTTGGGAGACCGATTTACCTCGTTAATCTCATTGTTTTCGCATGTCTTCAAGTTCAATGGTAATGTATGCTCGGGCTCGAGTTCGGGCTTGGGATTTGCTTGGCTGCAAGATCGGGGTGGTTTGATATCTTCGACTTCAGAGGAACGAGTCCGAACTTTTGGTGCTTGTGGTGCCTTCTTCGTTGGCGGTTGACGCAACGAGCGAGTTGCGGTGTTTTCCTCGTCGATTTTCGATGACAGAGAAAGGGACTCGATGGCTTTTTCGATGTGTTCAACCCTGGCCTTTTCTTCACACTGCACCTTGGGAATCTTCTTGGTCTTAGATAAAGTCTTCCCGGACAGAGAAGGCAGTTCCAAGAGTGCTCTGGCTGGAAAGTCCTCCATGAAAGTTTCAGATTCACAAACGTCGGAGACCGAGTAGCTAATTTTGAGTCCCATGCGTCGTGTCGGGCGAGACGGAGAATAATCGGTGTTCATGTCTAGTGCGTCAGATTCTTCAATATCAACCTGACCAGTTCCCAAAGCTGTGCGCCTTGATCTAATGCGAGACTGGTCCGATATGGGGTGACGCTTGATATTGGCAGAAGGAGACAGGTTACACATTGAAGAGAATGTATCAAGGAGACCATCGACTTCCCGAGAAACGTAGTGCATCGTCAGTGAAGACCTCTGCTGAATATACATGCTCGGAGAGGAGAATATATCGTCTTCCTGGTCCACAATTGTTGGCGAAGAAGACCCAGAATTGGCCACAAGTCGGGAAAGAGGATTCTGAGCCGATGTAGCGGCTTTCAACAAGTGTGTTTGTTTAGTTGTTGACAGTTCGGACCTTTCTTTCGTGAGTGTTCCGTATTTCAGGATACTCCCCCGTTTCATTCCAGCATCAATTGGTCCCTTTTTCTTGGGACCGGTGCGCCGAGTACCGGTCTTCTTTTTTCGCCGCAGCTTCTTCGGCTTTCGCGGCTTTTTCAGCCTGTTCCCTCTCCCAATTTTTGACGACCTCAGGAACACCCAGTCTTACGACAGTCTCGAATATCCAGACCTTTTCGAGGGAGAACGGATCAAATTGTTTTGTAATCCGAGACTTCGATGGTGTCGGAGGTGGTGATCCAGCAACTACCTCTGGGTCGTCCTCTTCCTCAGCTTCCTGTACACTAATTTCGGACGGCGGGTTTGGTTCCTCGGCAAGGAGATCCAGCCCAACAATATCTGCCGGTAGCATATCTAGCTGAAGTTCTGGCACTGCATCAGTGCCGAAGCTTGATCGGGTTCGATACACCTTTTGCAGACCAGGTGGGCAATCGGGCACAAATGAGAAACCAGGCGACACGCCTAGAACTGGTCTCTGGAGACGGAGTCTGTACGAGACAAGAGGCTCAGCCAGCAGTCTGATCAATTTCCTTGCCCCCGATCGATAATTCCATTCAAAATGGTCTGCGGCAAATGTTCGGATTGCCAGGGGGTCGATATCTTTGTCCCAAGCCTGTACGAGACGGGTTTTCAGAAGTGCCATTTCTTCATCACCGGAAACTTTGGGCTGGGCGTAGTACTCGAGAATTTGTCGGTCCGGAAAAGCGTCTGGAATTCGAACTGCTGGGTGTTTCCTCGTAAAGTATCCACTCTCGTTCTCCTCAAGTTCATATTGGAGTCTTTCTCTCCACTCGTTCAACCCTGCATCCACGTCTGCTTGCGACGCAAGCTCCTGCAGAAGATCCTCGCCAAATCCAGCCTTGGCAATCTCTGCAGCGAGCTTGCTGCCGCATTTCGGAACACCAGATGGTAAATAGTCCCCTCCACTGAGCATAGCGAATAGGATCATTCCCGGTCGGTCAAGGGGTATATTGGATGGATGTCCATCCTGTCCCATTGCATAGCATGTAACATGAGTTGCTGAAGAGCTGCCGCTTCCGCTCTCTTTTGAGAAGTTCATAATAGTTAAAGACGATCCGAACATCAATGCGTCGACATCGTTGCTCATGACAGCGTCTACAATACCTGCCTGCTGTAACCGTGCACATTCGGCTTCTGCCTCGCCGGGTGCCTCATGCCACGGAAACCTGAATCGTTCGATGAGGTCCTTGGAACGCTTGATGATCGGCGCACTGCCATAACTGCGAGATGAGACTGCTTTGCCTCTCTTAAAAGCAGGTTTTTGCCGTCCATCATAGACAAAAAGGGGGTGAACTGGCAATGCAAGTAACTTCAATAATCGATAAAATAGTGTGCGTAGCTCTGGGTTTCTTCCGCCCCTACCCGCTTGGACTTGAAAGAGCCAGATCGAAATGTCGACTGCAATGCGAATCGGTCTTGCTGTCCGCTCGAGGTGCGTCACTGCCAACTTGGCCAGAGAGATACGCTCTCCTGGGCCAATTGCATTGATGAGCCTTGAAAAAGTTAGTATTTGGATTGAGGAATCTGGAGATACGAAGTCCGGCTTCTTATGCGATGGATAAACAACGCTTTGAGTCGGTGCTCATAGCGATATATATGTTTTCCACCATGTAAAATCAAATAGAATATATGACTTGACTTACCCAGGAATACCCATGCCGACTGTAAGCAATAGAAATGGGAAGCAGTTTAAGTGCCCATGTGGTGTTAGAAGATGTACAATATGCAGTGGTTTTTGCGGAGAGAGGAAGTTGTGAAGTAAATAAAGACGGCCCGATGTAGATCCGTTGCCTACCAACGAGCTTCCCCCAACCACTTGGGCAAGCTTATAGATCTTATTTTTACTTTGTCTTTGAATTTAAACCGATGGCATTGAAACCCCGACCTGTGCGCAGGTGAATCGAATATTTGTCGCTACGAACCCTACGAACTCCTGTTGCTCCCAGAAAGGGGAGCAACGCGCCCAAGCTCATCCAAGCATGTCGAGTGATACACCCTCAATGGGTGCCAGTAAACGCACATCAGCAACTTCTGGTCTGCGGAATATCCAGACAGCGAGACCTGTTTCCCCTCATACACCACAACCACATTCGGGAAACCCCTCCTTCGCCAGCAGCACATCACCGGGTTCCACCTTTCGAAGCGAAGACGATGCGATCATATTTGAGATAGGCGCACGATGGCTCCGCGCAGGCTTTGAAGGAAGCAGCGCGCCTGTGTGTGTGGTTGGCTTTGGACCTGAAGACTCGCGGAGAGCGGGGGACTACCGAGGATGGATTCAGGGCAGCAGCGGTGCTGGACGGCTAGCGCAGCCCGTCGACATAGAAGAGTGGACACGGACATATGAATTGTGGCGGCCAGATTCTCGAGAAGTTGATTTGGGCCTGGTTGAGGATAAGATCGAGCGCGCGTTTCGGGAGACATACAACCAGTTCCTGTTGACGGATGCAGGGACATCTCGCCTTGTTCTTGTCCTGCCGTCTCTCATGCCACACCCATTGCTGTCGTCATTGCTGTCGACGCTCTTTAGTCGATGGCGCTTCCCGAGTGCTACCCTTCTGTCTAGTGCGACCATGTCGGCCACGGCTGCGGGATTGCGGTCGGCTTTGGTGGTTGACCTTGGCTGGGCCGAGACTACGGCAACGGCGATCTACGAATACCGGGAGATGACTACAAAGAGAACGACACGGTCTATGAAGCATTTGATGCAGGAAATGGGGCTTCTTCTTACCGGGTTAGCTTCCGGAAACCAGGGTACGGAGACTGTGGATAAGATCTCTGTTGGATTCGCGTACTGTGAGGAAGTTGTTAGTCGGTTTGCCTGGTGCAAATCGCAGGCAGAAGAAGATGAAAACTCAGATGAACCCGACCTGAAATTGTCGATTCCTTCTCCCGCAAATCCCGAGGAAGAATATATGGACGTGCCGTTTTCACGTCTCGCTGAACCTACCGAGAAGGTGTTATTCGCACCAGGTGTCGCAGAACATGAATTGGATGAAGAAGAAAAATCCTTGCCTTTGCTTGTCTACAACACCCTTCTCTCACTGTACCCTGATGCACGAGGAACATGCATGTCCCGTATTGTCTTTGTGGGCGGCGGTTCTCGAATTCCTGGGCTACGGCAGCGGGTCCTTAAAGAAGTCTCGTTCTTGATCGATCGTCACGGATGGAGTCCAATTCGAGGCAAAGCACTAGAGCGACAGCGACAGAGATTGGAGGAGCTCAGACTTTCGGCCCAGAAAGCATCCAACCAACCTGAGATTCCTAAGAGCAATGTGGAAGCACCTTCCAGCGATGACGAACCCGCCGACCCCTCGAAAGAAGTGCCTGAGATTGATTTCGTGGAACAAAAGCTCCGCCGACAAAACAAAGACATCCCAGTGCCTATCCAAGGAGTCTTGCGCGAAATTGAATCTCTTGGTCCATGGGCAGGCGCAAGCCTGACAACCAGTCTGAAGATCCGGGGGATGGTAGAGATCGAACGAGAGAAGTTCTTACAGCACGGACTCGCTGGAGCTACAAGAGATATTGACCATCCTGTTCCTGATCGTCGATCGGGCTTGAGATCTGGCGGTGATCGGTCGAGTTGGACGCTTGCAGGCTGGGCATGAAACTATGTACATTTTTCAAAAACGATAGATACCCCATTGGATTCCGGAGCCGTTATTTCCCTACTGTTTCTCTATATGAAGCTTCCCAAATAGGATCGCCGTGTTTACGAAGATCTCGGCATTTAATCGCACCCATCGGTTGAATGCTGGAACGGATTACTTTCAATCTGAATTATTGGGAGGATGAGATTGTGAAAGGGAGTGGTGGTAATGGGGGTAGTTTTTGTCGAAGTTTTAGATGTCTATTATCTGCTGCACACATTGAGGGAGTTTGCATGTATAGCCAAATTCAATTCTGTTATGTCTGTTTTCGGTTGTGAATTGGCCACAGGTGGCTCTCATTCGCACAGATTGAGGCAATGAATGCCAAATAAGCGCTACGCGTAGGGTCCACGTAGAGATAAATATTGATCCAATGCAAGTATGGTTGCGCCCCGTACTATGAATCTAAATAGTGCCAAACTGGTAGGTAGCCCAGTTAACGGCGGGCCCATCATCAGGACCAAAGATCTGGTAGGGAACACGACCCCACTCAGGGTTATTGATACCATCGATCCAGTCCTCGGTTTCGATAACGAAGCATCCATACTTGTTAACGTGGGTGGCACCGGAGTCACCACCATCAGCCTCGTTGCGCTTCGCCTGCGACTTCTTAGTGGCGATGGAACCGTTCTGTCCACTGCAGGTGTAGATCTGCAGCGCGGCCTGGTTGGTAGCGACGTCGAGGCTGATACCAGTGGAGCTGGATGAGGCACTAAGGACCGTGGCGATCGAGTTAGACGCGTATGTTGAGGGCCGGTCGACGAGGAAGCACGTATCATAGCCTGTGCAGCCGGCGCCACAAAGGTCGTAGGTCTTCTCGATGTCCTTGCCAATGAGTTTGGGACTGGTGAAGTCCAGAGCTCCTTGGTAGGCTTTCTCAACGTCGTGAATGGTGCCGTTCGGGATTAAGATGCTGTCTCCACCAACGAATCGCTGCGAGAGGGGAAGCTGCAAGGTGGTATCCTTCAACACGTTGGGTTCTTTGAACGCGTTCAGGTTCCAGTATATGTGGTTAGACAGCATGATGGGGGTCTTCTCTGTAAGAGAGAGAGCCACCAGCTTTGAAGTCAACTGGGGAAGTCCCTTGGGGTTGGCCGGTGTCTTCTCGGTAGACACGCTGAAAGTAGCATGGGTAATGACGTCTCCTGGGAACTTCTCAAAGCCTTGATCGAACAAGGTGAAGGTGATAGAGGAATCGCTGTGCGAAGTGACCGTCCAGTTGCGCATATCATATCCGGTGAAGCCACCATGGAGAGTGTCCACGCCATCGTTTTCATTCTCAGGAACGTGGTACGTGTTATCATCAATAGTGAAGGTACCGTTCTTGATACGGTTGGCATAGCGACCGACAACTGCGCCGAAGAACGTGCGATTGGTTTCACTATCATGCAGGTATTCCTTGGGGTCATCGTAGCCAACGATCACATCTTGGACGTTGCCGTTGCGATCTGGAACTAGCAAGGAGGTGAGACGCGCACCATACGGAATCAGCTTGGCAGTGATATTCTCAGCCTTGATCGTATAACTTTTGAAGTGATCGGAGTTTGAGTCACTAGCAGGCGAGGGAACAGCCTGAGACGGCGACGGTGCAGCATTGGCCAAGGCAGGCAGCCCATACAGGGCGGCTGTCACATAAGACTTGAAATGCATTTTGATTCCCAAAAGAGTTGTAACTGAAAGAAACAAGATAAAGAGGAGGAGAAAACGAAACGTAATCCGGGGACGGCAAACTGATGAACGTAGCCAACCGCGGGGTGCAGGCATCTTATGAGAAGCTCCGTTCGGATCGCAATAAACATTCCCCAATTTGCGCTAAACTACCTCCGCATGGCTTTGACGCTAGGGGGCGGGGACATGGACAGAAACCGGGGTAAAGGTTCTAGAGAGACCAGGATTTATCCGAATGCAGGTGGTGTGATCGATATGCAGGTCAACCATTGGACTGTTGGGCAAAGCGGACGCCAGATAATGAGGGGGAAGATCTGAGCCCCTATTCCGGGGTGTTGGGGGATGTAACTTAAGGGCCGTGGGTCCAGTCAAGCTCAAGAGGCGCTCTGCCACTGACGGCACGGAACAAATGCTTCGCTGAGTCCATGCGGCAAAACTCCGGTGGAGTTCAAATTGCATGTTCACCGCCCGGGGCTGTTAGTCAGCGTCCTACCCGTCCACCTTTCCAACTTGGGTTAGTTCCTGCCGAGGTAACCGTGGAAGGAGCCTCTAAGGTTCCAAGGTTCAATCACGGGGTAATTCCATTTGATATGTAGTTTATTCTAAGGTTGGCTCCCAGGAGGAACTTTAGCCTTATAGACATCCCTGTCAGGAATTTATCGATGTCAGGAGAGTTATTCCGCTCTCAGGCTTGGGCGCACTCACGGGAAGTAGTTGGCGTCCATCTCACTTAGTATGTCGACGACAGCCTTCGTGGTATAAATTTTGACAGGAATCAATCCGTGAGTGTGATATGTTGTATATTGTCCAGATCATCTCATGCTCAGACAATTTGAGCCCCGGGTTGTGCTTGTTCATTCCCTTTGCAAATACTAGCACCTTGGCATAGAAGGGGTCAAAAACGAATGTCGTTTCGCCAGTCACACTGTTTTTCAATTTCGCCGTAGCCAAACCTCGTCTATGGTGATGTATGTGCTTTGCAGTCTCGGCGTCGAACCGGGTGTCGATGAAGTATACCTTGTTTGGGCCAGCCGCTGCCACGTATGGAGTATCCGGCGCCACAACCTGGAGGCCATATCCTGGCCTTTGGTACGTAGCAGATATTCCCCATGGAAAGTTAGTGAGCCACTGAGCCCTCGCATGGTAGTAACGGATTCAGAAGCATGGTGATTAATGGTAGAAAGAGTATGTGCAGTATAGTCACAAGTTGAATATGTATTGTGTCTATTTCTGTGTGTCCTTCTGCGTATATTGCTTCTCTCAAATAACTTAGCGGTCAGAGGCACGTGGTAGAGAATTACTGTCCCCCTCCGACCCGGAGTACCACGCCTACCAG